TCCTTCGTCTCAAGTAGTTTTTAGAAATCTATTTCTATTTTATTTATTCTGAGGATATCGTCAGTGGACTTCATAATTAATATTATGAATTATGAATAACGGTGGATGGATTTCTTTCAAGATGCGATCTCATGATAGAACCTCTCTACCAGAGCCATAACCATAGTAGGGATCGAACTCGTGCCCCATCTTATCTCCCGGATAATCAAACATAAAATGTAAACGTGCAAATTTCTCGAAAAATGCAAACAATGCTCTAGATCCACGAGCGCACAAAAGCTGCAAGCACGATAGACATCGATTTCTGCACAGTCATAAAACTGTTTTACAACACTATGAATACTGCCAATCCGCTTACTGACCAAGCGGCAGTTTCGTAAATTAAGTTTTAAGGGGTTGAGTTTAACAGGGACTTGGCACGTAAAACAAGATCATAAATGACTTTAGGTCAGGTCAACTCCTAATGTCATATAGGTTTGAAGTGCGCAGGTGCTTTCCTAGAGTACATGAAGAGACAAATCAGTTTGGCGTCATTATATATTCGTCAACAGTTTAATAAAACTTACAGGGTACCCCAGAATAAGATATTCATTTCTCACATGTACATAGGACGCACAATAATGATGTCACAACTTGACATAAAAATATCCTACGGGTTCCCCCTACTATAGTAGAGTACCAAAATTGATGACAGTAGCGAAACTCATCGTACGCCACTGCTGTTACGCGGAGGCCTTCAAAAATGCAGCGCCTCTTTGTGAAATTTCGGCAACCGTCGCTGTAATCAAATGGTGCCGTGTCAAAGCACTGGCGCACGATGACTTCTGCTACGAGGGATGTCTTTTAAGTTTTGCATATGGAAATAAAACAACAAGATAGGTAGTTTTAAATGACTTTATTGTTTTTCGAAGTATTCACCACGAAGATTAATATACATCTGCATGCGCTCGAACCAATTTTCGAAGCACTTATTCCACTCGTTTGCTGGCAGATCCAAAACGGTTAGTTTGAATGCGTCAACTGCTTCTTCTGGTGACTAGAACCTTTGACCACGCAGTCTGTTTTTAATTTTCGGGAAAGTAAAGGAATTGTTAGGACTTATATCGGCACTATATGGAGTATGATCCGATAATTCCACGTTTTCTTCCGTTAAATACTGCCTTGTTTTTTGGGCTGTGTGCAAGCTTGCATTGTCTTGGTGGAGGATGATTCTTCTTTCGGGGTTGATTTTCCGAAGCTCGGTGATGACTTTTGGCAAACAAATGGTCGTATACCAATCCGCAGTAACAGTTCTTTGCTCATTAAGAGGAATTGTTGAAATATGACCCGCTTTTGACGCAAATGTCGCGACCATCTTTTTCGAAACACTTCGAGAACGGATGACTTTTGTTGGCTGGTTCATAACAGTAAATCCACGATTCATCACCACTAACAATGCTGTACACATTTTTGTTTCCGGAATTGAAACGGTCAAGCGTTTTTTGACACCAATTAACCCTGGCTGCTTTCTGCTCTTCAGTCAACAGGTGGGGTATCCAACGAGAAACTAATTTTCTTACTCCTAATTCTTCATGTACATTTTTTTGAATTGAGGTCTTTGAGATCTTCAAGGACGCCTCAATCTCGCGATGTGTTACGTGTCTATCTTCAATGATGAGTTTGCGCACAGAATCGATGTTTTCCTGGGTGACTGCAGTTTTTGGTGCACCCACCCTGATCTCCGGAGGTAATAAATTAAAAAAGTATATTCCTGCTGTTATGGGAGATTTTGAATGAAACGTATGATATGACACATGCCTAACTATATTATTTTTATTACGAGTGCTGTAGTCATGGATGTCAGTATGCTTAAGATAATCGTTTCTGTGCTGAAAAATATATGTTAAAAGATTATAAAGATATATACATGCTACTGTAAGTATTTTGTGTTTAACAAATATCCCTCGTACTGTCATCAATTCTGGCATTTGACTATAAGATTTGAGCAACCAAAGTACTTAAATATTTTCGCAGCTGTTAGAGTTTCGCTAGATGTATGAAAAAAATGATATAACTTGCTGAAATCAAGTACTCAAAAGCAAAATAAATGATAACCAGCCAATTATGCAATAAAGTTTAAACGCTGCTTAAATTTTATATAACCACTTTTAAACATTTCTATAATTTTTCCCTTTATAAAAATAAAACTTCAGTACTGTATGATGAAAACCCGACGATTCAGTCGATTTTTTTCAAATTTTGAACCATCGTTTTGGTGTCTTTGAAAAATGTAACATCTGAAACTTATCCTGTGGTTGTCTCTCTGATTTCTTAGCTGCATGTTCTGCTGGTCATGAAATGAAATGACAGATGAAGAGGTGAAAGTTTAGTAACATTCAGGCTTTGAATTGTAATTTTAATAACGAAAAACTATGTAACTCATTCCCGTCAGCTCTTATCGGTTTGTCCGTCTGTCTGTCGGTCTGTGTGTCTGTCCGCTAATCCTTGGCCCGTCTATAACTTGGACAATACTGCTCGGTGCACACATATTTGCTGAAATTTTTACACAATATGACTATTATGCAAAGGACAAAAAATCTTTGCAGGAGATCACAGGCGGGCGTGTCGGACTTGGTAAGTGTTCTGGCCTTACTGCCGCGCTGCCGCGGCTGACGCCTTGGGGTAACTGGAAGATACGACGTTGCCAGATGTACTACCGGTCGGGCAGGGAAAATCTATTGACTAACTGTGTGGACCGGCTTGATCTGCTAAATTTCTCTTTCTCTAACTGATCGTTTTCTCAGAGGCTCTAAAATGTGTTGAACATAATCCTTTATGAATGGATGATGACGTTGCGTGGGAAGTGCATAGGCAATCTACTTGACGTCACTTTTACATATGGGGTTTTATTTGGCGGCCAGGGGAACATGGATATTAGTCTTTGAAATGTCGTCTGATCAGCTTTTTAAACGTTTCAGCAAAGTTTGTGGTGGAAGTTGGGAAAATACCGAAAAATATTAAGTTTCTTATAAAACGTTAGGAATATAGAATTATCTAAATCGGTAATTCAATCCAAACATCGCACGAATATGTGTCAATACAATGCCTTGAAAATGCAATAGTTCCAGACATTCTGTTTTATGCATCATGTAGCTTGCAAAATAAATGTAGGAGGCACATTAACGCTAAATGTAAAGCCAAGTTCTTTTAGCGAGACATTCAGGTATTTGTATAAAAAATTTTGGCACTCTGGCACACAAATTCGAATCAATTAACACAGCAAAAGTTGTTGGAGAGCGAGTCTAAATACAGATTATTCTTTCTGGTGAAACACGCAGAGCAATTTACATGTTTGGAGCTTTTTATCTTTATTTGGCCGTTAAAATTCCCGGCGGAGAGTAATTTCGTGGGGATTATTTTAAATCGCCCATGCAAACGTTAGCATTATTGGATTTTATATTTTATGCCTGAGAAATACTGGACAACATCGGAATTTTGTTTAATAAATTCAAAGTTTTTCTGCTTGACCCAATAGCTGTGGATATCATAAAATTGGCTATTATACATAATATCCCGCGATAAGGATAAGTGGTGGAAAATTGCCTGATTGGTTTTTGCATAAATCATTGCAGGGAGCATGATAAAGGTTGCTCAAAGCTAGTTTTGGCCTTACGGGACGAACCGACGCACCGCTCGTGATGGGTGGTATTCGGCCAATTGATTTGCTGGCTGACGAGAGATGCGCGTTCTATAAAAAGAAACCTGATCCCAAATATTGAAGATATACATGTGTATATACACGATGCAGATAGTAAAATGACTAGATACCTTAGGTATGAAACCGCTGCCCACCATAGCGAAATGCTGCAAGCATAACCCTGGTGGAAGGTGTAGCAAACGCCAATGACGAATGGAGTAGAAACATAATATCTTTTTATTTTTCGCCATCACAATGCTTTATCGCCAATTGCACTATCAAATAAAATTAAGCAACTGGTTTCATTTATAAGTGAAAATTGCTGGAGTTCAAACCAGCTACAATTTTTACTTCCAACAATTTCTTAAACTGTCTGATTAAGGAAGGCAATATTTTTTCAAAGTTTAATTCAGTGAGCCGAATTCATAAAAAGACGCATAAGGTAAAAGTATAAGGTCTTGCTTCGGAGAAAAAGGTAGAAGTATAAGCATATCCTTATTTTCATATTCATAATGTTTACCTTATACTCGCGAGGATATCCTCCAAGAAGAAGTAAAAGGTTGACTGGTATTTGTATCTCGAACGACATGTCCTGACATGTTCCAGCTTGCAGTTGACGTGGGAGTTTGTTCACTCAGCATCATTGACAGTTGTACTCCAGAGCTTACACAGACCGTTCCGTATTTTTACTGGATACAGTTTTTTTTCAAATTAATAAGCATGTCATCCTCAAGTGATGAGGAAACTATAGAAAATAATGGCGACGACCTGCAGTTCATCGCAGATGAAATTGCCATTGCTCCCATTATTTCACAAGTTCCAAAAATAAAAATGAGAAAGGACGATGCCTTGAAAAAGATTTTGAAAAAATACGAATCAACATTCGGTAAATCATTAGATACTAAAGGCTTATTAAAAAAAATCGACAACATGAAATCAAGATTGAAGAAAAAAGCAGATCTGAAAGAGAACTGGTAATAAAGCAATTAAATTGTTAGATTGGGAAAGAAAGATGCTGAAAGCTATGGAAGATGACTGTATCCCTACAATTGGGAAAATTAGAGGTGCCATTCAGGTTGGTAGTGTTCAAGAAGAAGGAAGTGAACTATATACCGAGCGCAGTGAGCAAACAGTATTAGAGCGTCAGCAATTCAGAAGACATTGCACCAAAAGAAAAATTAGCAACAGAGAAATACGAAACTGAGGAAACCAAAGGGTTAACTACAAAAGAACTGCAACGTATAGTGCTATTACAGCAGTACCAAACAAGTATTTTACAACAAGAGTATTAAAAAACGAAATTAGAAATGATGCAGCGTCAGAAGCCACCTGTAACTTATGATGTTCACGAAAATAAAAGTTATTATAACTTATAAATACACTTTAATCAGTAAAACTATTTATTATAATACTCAAGTTTCTTCTTATTTGTTCACCTATTTCTCGGAGAGGAAGTTCGTCATTCTCACGATTTCTGTCATCTTCATCTAGGTCTGGTTCAATTAACTCAAAGTCAGGATTGACCAAGCTCTTCGCAACATTATAGAGTACAATACGAGTACAAGCAATAATTATTTTCGACACATTTTCCAACTTTACGCTGCAAACATACTGCAGGATAGGAAACCGGCGTTTCTGTTGGCCGAAACAGCGTTGTTTTAAAAGCTTATTACAATTTATTTCTGCACCTGGAGTAGGATTTCTGAAGGAAGTCATAAGGCATGGCTCAATACCATAACCGTCATCGCCAAGTAGTATATTTGCTTTATTTATTAGTTGTGATCTAGTCTGTGAATTTCTCCTTATTCTGGACTCATGTACTGATCCAGCCCAACTGACATCAACTCTTGTTACTTGTCAACACATCTCTCTGGCATCACAAGTGGCTTGTCGTTTAAAGTAGGTTTCCCTTTTCGGTTGATATACTCATCTCCATGGCGATTTGGTTTCAGGATTCCTATATATGTACAATCAATTACACCAATTGCTGTCGGAAATTTATACATGCTTTGCGATATCCGCTTGGCCTCCCTCAGTTCATCTTTGGTAGTTGGAAACTTGATCCATTCGTTCGACTGTGCAACTATGCTTTTCACAACTCTATCCATAGTCCGAGATACCGTTGCTTGACTAACACCAAGTTCCTGACCAATACCTTGTTGATATCCAGAGCCACAGAGATAGCGTAGACATATCTTCATTTTATGAATACATGAAAGTGCTCCTCCTCGAGTTTCCTCATTCTCAACTAAAAATCTATCCGCAAGCCATTGTACATTAGCTTCGTCGAATCGATAGAATTTTTTGAAGTCACGACCAAGTGAAGATAAACGAGGTTTGTACGTTTTAACATCCCTAACATCCACAATTTCCGCCGTCATCGTTTGACCACCTTTCGTTACGAAGTTGAGACTGTTACTGACCACACTCAGAATTTTTTAAGGATATGCTTCCTATGCCAAGTATAAGGTGAAGATTGTGAATATCTTTTTACTTATGTCACTGCTTTGAAGGATATGCTTATACTCAAAAGGCAAAAGCATCTACTTCAAATTATTATAAATACCATCTGAAGGATTTTCTTCAAAATTGCAAGTACAAGGATATCCTTTGTTTTAAGAATACGGCTCAATATCTAGCATTTGCTTTTACTTGCTAGTTATTCGAATAATAAGAATATTTATTTGTCTCCAAAATTGCTTCCACTAAATAAAAACGCCTCAAGTTAAAATGATTCATTATTATTCACTCTTAAATGCTTTTACATATCAAAATCTTTACCTATCGAATAATTGGAGCGTAAGCGCCTCTTTGTAAATATTTTCATCACACTTCTCATTTCTCCGTCGAATAGCCGAGATATTTTTGGCGTCTCTCATGCAGCTGAGCCGTTAACACCTTTATTACCTTCAGCTTGATATATTGCCCCGTGGAATCATTAACAACGAATGACAGTAGGACAGTACCAGGCCCAAACATAAACTTTATTTGATACAAAGTTTACAGATTGAGAATAGTTGCATCACTGGCAAAAATACGTTGCATATTATTTAGTAACCGTCCCGGAATAAGACAAACGAAAATAAATAAAAAAAATAAAAATAATTTTTCCGATTGGAAATTGGTGTGATCTATTCGGTCAACCGTGAGGAGTAATACACATCCATCAGCTTTTTAGATCTATCAAATATTAATCGGTGTATGAATTAATAGTCAGCTTGGAAACACAACACTACAGTGTTACCCCGCTTATAATGGACTCGGCGGGACTGTGACAAATAGTATATTATAGGCGGACGACCATGTTAAAAGAAACACTTTTTTAAATAAAAAAAGCAGCAGAAACATATTAAAAGCTTAAAATGTGTTTGTTAAACATGTATTACATAAATAAAGATACATACAGAAAAGTTATACGAGTTTTACGTTTTGCCTATGGAAATAAAGCAACGCGACAGGTAGTTTTAAATGAGATTACTGTTTTTAGAAGTATTCTCCACGACGATTAATACACATCTGCATGCGCTCGAACCAATTTTCGAATTGTCTCTGAAAGTTGTAATAAATTATGGCGCGAAAATGTTCTCGGTTGAGTTCCATTTTTCTAATGACTTGGTAACACTTAAAAATTCACTGTTGTGAGAACACTGCACGTATTGTTGTGAAACTTTGAATTTGAATCTAAAGAGTGAGTTTACTGACGTTCGATCCGCGCGGCCTACTATGTTTCTATATGCAAAACTTAAAAGACATCCCTCGTACTGTAATTTTGAAATTTGCATTCTTTCAGAATCTGATACACATATTACATGCATACTTACTGTGTAGGTATGTGTAAAAACCGTAAATTATTTGGGAATAAAAGCTAGTAATTTTGATTTGAACAGATTGTTTTTTTTGTATAATTATTTATAACAGCAAGTTGAATTTGATTTAATTTGGTAAGTGTGGCTGTACTGTCTTCTTCTTGCTGAAAATAACGTTGCAACTTTTTCACGCAGTCTAGTGCCTTCTTAGTTGTCACTGGAAGCTCTTCTTCATCGTTGTTTTCTAGTTCGTCTTCCTGATCGTTATCAACGGATCCTTCATTAACCAAATTGGAGTCTGACAATTCCTGTGCTGCTATTAAATTATTGTCAACATTTACTCGTACATACTCATTAAATTTATCTATATTCAGTAAACTATTAATTTTCAGTAAATCACTTAATGGAATTTCATCTTCTGGATTAAAATCCTTGACTATTTCAGTTTTGTTTTTCGCTAAACCAGCATGGCGAAAACAATTACGAATCGTTTCTGGAGTAACCAATTTCCATACGTTAGTTTCGTTCGTGGTTCCGATTCGGAATTGATTCTGAACCACTTCGCATGCGCACTTCAAAAATCGGCGTTCGCGGTAAGAAAATTCTGAATTTTTAGTTACAGTTCTGCGTTCGCGGATCATATCGAATTGGTAAAGAACTGATTCCGAATTGGTCCTGATGGTTCTCAGATTTTTGGTGAGACTTAAAGTTCGATCCGGCTGATCATGCGCATTAGCATCGTTATGGACATTTGATATTTCATCTTCTGCTGCCTCTGTTCGGGTTTAAAGTGTTTAACCTATTCTGTGAAAATCTGTCACCTGTGCTTTTTAGTGCTTGCTGTTCCATACATATGATTGTGTGTTCCATCTCAAATTCTTAAGATTCAGTGCTTAAGATTTTGTGCTTAAGATGTCGGACCATTTATCGTTTAGTGATGATGATTTGGAAGAACTATTGGAAGTTATTGAAGTACCGACAACACCTGGAAGCTGTCAATAGTGTCAATCGAATAGCAGCTTGGCAACAGCACAAAATAGAGGGCAAATTGGCAACAGTGTTGAATACGCAAACAGTTCCAAAGTCGTTCGCGGTAAACGAAAATCTCGAACTAGAACTGGTTCATTTTCTGACCCGCGAACGCAATTAATAGTAAGCAAATTTATATCATCTAATATGGTCATAGCTTTGGTACGAGGGATGTCTTTTAAGTTTTGCATATAGAAACATAGTAGGCCGCGCGAATCGAACGTCAGTACTGAATCTTAACCTCACTCTTTAGTAAACTTAAAAGTTCAAAGTTTCACAACAATACGTGCAGTGTTCTCACTACAGTCATTAGAAAAATGAAACTCAATCGAGAACATTTTCGCGCCATAGTTTATGACAACTTTTAGAGACAATTATCGCAACAAGAATGCCTTGCTGAGTTACTGTCTGTTTTCGGCAACGAAGCGCCACATCAATCGACACTTTCCCGCTGGTATCGAGAATTCAAACGTGGACGGCTGAGTCTTAGCGACGATCCCAGGGTCATCCGTTCTCGAAGTGTTTCGAAAAAGATGGTCGCGACATTTGTGTCAAAAGAGGGTCATATTGCAATAATTTCTCTTAATGAGCAAAGAACTGTCACTGCGGATTGGTATACCACCATTTGTTCATCACCGAGCTTCGAAAAATCAACCCCGAAAGAAGAATCATCCTCCACCAAGACAATGTAAGCTCGCACACAGCCCAAAAAACAAGGCAGTATTTAACGAGCAAACAAGTGGATAAGTGCTTCGAAAATTTGTTCAAGCGCATGCAGATGTGTATTAATTTTCGTGGAGAATACTTCGAAAAACAATAAAGTCATTTAAAACTACCTACCGTGTTGTTTTATTTCCGTATGCAAAACTTAAAAGACATCCCTCGTAATATTGACATCTTCTTGAAGCTCCATAATTTTCATCAACATATGTATGTTTCCGATACATTTGCTTAAGACTCCAAATGACACCCTGGTTCATTAGTTGCAGAACTGATGTCACATTGGGTGGAAAAAATGGAAGGTATTTTAAATATTCTTCAACAATTGATGAAGTCATCCAAGCTTTATTATTTCCAACATAATCGACGGGATTTGTTTTGACATTTTAGAAACACCTGGGATTCTTAAATTTCCATGAGATAAAAAAGGTTATAAATTCTTTACAGCACTGCCATTGTATATTAAAAAAATTCAGAACATGAATTTCTATTGATTCACTTACCTATTATCAATAGTTTCCGTTTTTCAGTATCAGAAGCATTAGCACAAATCATAACAGTTATTCGCTCTTTTGATAGTTTCCCTCCATTTAATTTATTTTTTTATCTGGTAGCCTTCTACAAAATATCCCGGTTTCATCTGCATTGAATATTTTATCATCTGGATAATCACTGGATATTACGGGCCAAACTTGAAAAATCCAGCCATTGGTAACGTTCTTGTCAACTGAAGCTGACTCACCACACATTTCTCCATTATGTCTTTTCTTAAACCTGGCTAGCGAACCGGAACTACATTTGAAGTAATCTCCAATCAATTTCCCAAATTCTGCAGCCTTTATTTGTAGCATAGGTCCACATATTGGAAAATTATTAGCACGCTTTTGTTGAAACCATTTAAACAGCATATACGATATACTATTTGATTTCCAGTCATTTTTAATTTTGTCACCGTTTTTCCAAATATTTGGCACAGTGGATTTTTTTATAGCCATACGAGCACATATATTTGCTTGAGATGAACCCTTCTCTAGCTCACTAATTATTGTGAACTTTTCCTGTAAAGTAAATGCACGTTTCGCACTTTTCGACTTGTTTATAACTCTAATAAATACAGTATAACACTGGTGGCCACATTCGAATGCGAATCCAAACGATTGCATCAGCTAAATCTGCTTCGGGGAACAACCAATAATGGATTAAAATAGTCCGCTATAAACGAGGGCCTATTTTAAGCGAGTCTATAATATCCGAGGATTTTACACGCAATTATTTATAGGACCTTAAATTGAGTCCATTATAAGCAAGTTCATTATAAGTGGATTCCACTGTATTTCTAACTGTGCTGATGAGAGAACTAGCAGTCACTTGAGGGCAAGTCTGCTTAATTTAGGGTTTTATTACATGCTGTGCATATAATACCTGGAAGAGACCTTGCCGTGAGTTAAATAGGTTGAAACTGTCAATGAGAGTCTACATTTTGTATTAGACATGTTTACTTTGCTTCTTTGTTCTTTTGTCATTGTTGTAAGCTGGGTGTTTTTTTTTATTCAGATGTAATTACAATTTTATATTGTCTCGCTCAAAATAACTTCGTTTTGAAGTCATACAGCACCGGAGACAGTTCTTCCACTTTCTATGGCAAT